GAACAGTCATTTACGCTGTCTTAAACGTCTCGGCCACAAAGGAGCGTTCGGTAGGCAGGGTCGAATTTACTGCTTATAAACCTCAACCTTGCCTACCGAACGGTCATTTGTGGCCGAGACGGTTAAGGCACGTCAGCGTAAATGACGGTTCCGTATAGGATGCAGGTTCGAATCCTGTCAAAGGACGAATATTTTCTATGAAAATTTCTCGGACATTCAGGCCGGTAAATGTTATTTAATACTGTTTATTATAAACAGAGCATTTACTTAAATACTTGTATCTATAAAAAAGAACGTTAAACATAAAAATGTCTTTAATAAATAAATTGTCGGACTTTCTTAATATATATATATATATATATATATATATATATATATATATATATATATTAGTGAATATACATAATATACAGAGTCGATAACACTACACGAGGTTTCGTCCAGTTCATCAGGTATGGATTATGATCGACCAGAATCCACACCTGAAGTGCATGAAACTCTGAGTTTATCTCTGTTTCACGCTGGACGCAATCATCAGGCCGCCTGACCATTGTGCCTGGCAGGAAACAGCCTGTCGCCTCTGGGTGTTGACTTCAATGTTCACTTTTACATTTATATTTTCATACGCTCTATCTCTAATATTGAGCACCTTATCCCATAAATATAGCACATCCTAAAACTATATTTCTTCATATATATATATATATATATATATATATATATATATATATATATATATTACTTCAAACTTTATCAACGTGGACACGTCTTATTTAAAATAAACACGCCATTGCTTTTTATTAAATAGTGTATATTAACTGTGTTAGCTTGTGCATTCGAGCAATTTAAGTAAAGTAAACGCGTTCTCCGATATGGATCGAACCTTTCTACCCTTTGACAGAATCAACTATCATTTGATACGACATCCTTTATGGCTTGGTCACGAAACAATTCACATTAAGCAAGGCTCTATTTAGCCTGTTTAGAAAAGCGCCTTTCCTCCATTCAGATTAATTTTACCCGTATTTATATGCCTGTTCAGTTTCCTATTGGAAACATAAGCAAAGCAACTTCAAAAGATTTAATGGATTATATTTTTAACGCGGCATATTTATTAATTCAAACCTTTGTATATTATATATTTCATATTTCAAACTTTTATACAGGAGATATTTCATATATCAAACCTATGTATAAATCAAATATATATATATATATATGTGTGTGTGTGTGTGTGTAATGCACAATAAAATCCCAAATTACCTAATATGAGGAAAAGGCTTATTTCATTATTTTAACCGACAAAAAATTACTTATTCAACCCCGGTATAGACTGAGTTCGTGTCGGAATTTGACACGAACTCATTCTATACCGGAGTTGAATAAGACTGATAAAATTTTTCGTCGGTTAAAATGATCCTATTCCCCATATCAGTTAATTTTGGTGTTTTATTGTGTACTAATTATTTGATCTGTAATAATAAATACACTGAGCTCTTTTTGTGGATCATTTTTAATATTTTATAATATTAGGATCCACTTGGCTTATATACCAACGGATTAATTATTTTTACGAAATATATATATGTGTGTGTGATAGAAATTATTAGGAGGATTTGAGATAAATATAATTAAGTAATTCATCGAGTCTAGAAGAAAACTCAAACGAAATTAGATTCAATATAGTGCCGATATTGTACGCTTTTGGTGGTGAAGTTAATTTGATTATATTTTATTCAATTCTAGGGCTTTCCATTTTTGTATTTGCTGCTGCTGGAAGTGTTTACAGTGATGTGGTTTTTGTTATTTGGTAAAGGTCCTTGTGATTTTGTAGCGCTTGTCAGTAGAGTGTGATGAAGGGTCGTCTCAATGATTTACAGGATTTTTTCGTTTTTAATGATTGATTAGACATTTCTAAATGTTATTTACACTATTTATATTTGAACCAGTGTCCTCATATTTGTTGTTATCACAACGTCTCGACCATTCTACCCTCTGGGTAACGTTTTAATTATATATATATATATATATATATATATAGTACGTATGAGGTCGACAGTTCCTATATATATATATAATATATATATATATATATATATATATATATATATATATAGTGTACAATAAATTCAACATTACCTCAGATTACTTCAACTGACGAAAAATTCGCCAGTCTTATTCAGCCACGGTATATACAGAATTTGTGTCGGAATTAGACACGAACTCAGCCTATAAAATTGTCCCAACTGCCATGCCTCTACGAGATGTCTCATTTATTTCCCTTTAATTCAACTCTCCAAGTTTCGGTTCAGCACTGTTGTAGCTTGGGTCTAGTCACTGGATCTAACCAACGTCTTTATCCACTTGCATGGCACATGGAACTAGAAAAATCTACCCCACTGGACGAAATAAAGGATTCGATTCGAAATTCCAATTACATGAAGAAGGCCGGAGCGTAGAACGGCCGAAACTTTGTGAAAATGGCAGTAAAGATTAGGATAACAATCCGAGTAATTTAAATAATGCAATCATAATACCTCATCTCCGAGATATAGACAAGCAGGGATTTCCCCGTAAATAGTATCCTCGTCTCCTGCGGTACTGACTACTCGGTTGGTATAAAAATAATCTTTCCTGATGAAGCATTCTTAGACTGAGGCCGAAAAATAGGATACTGCGCTAAAAAGACTTCTCGATGGTTCCCATCATCAAAAACTGCTCTCTTCCGGTAATAAGATAAAGCCCCCATCTTAAGTCTTAGTTCCGGAAAGCGTCGTTATTATTATCTTGAGTCAGACTGATATCATTATCTTTATTATTTCCATGTTTCGACCGTTGTGACCTCAGGTCTTCTTCACGTGTCTCTCGCTCAACGTAATCATCACTTACGGTATATTGGCCATAGTGAAGTAAAAAGAAGGTTGGTGAATTTACTAAGCAAAGACCCTGTCGTGTAGGCTTCAACGGGCAACAGGGCGAGCAATAAGCGAACATTACTGAATGTTACTTAGATCGACAGACACCGGAAGGCAATGAAGCCACTAAGACGCAGGAGGTTACTGAGTGGGAAAAACTATAGGAAAAAAACATTATTAAGGAACGAGAACAATCAAAGAACAGAATTTAAGAGGAAGGGAGATAACGTTTGACATTGCATTTAAATTTTTGAAGAATAAAAGTTGTTTGGAAAGCAAGAAGCCGGAAGCGAATTTCACGCGCGAGAAGTGCGAAAGAAGAAACTGTTAGCATAGAACTTACGCTATTTACATTATTCAGACTATTGTCCTCATCTTTGTCGCTATATTTATTACAACGTTTCGGCTGTTGTACGCTCCGGTCTTCTTCAGGTGGTTGAAATGTCGAACGAAACCATTTATTTCGCTCACTAGGGTAGACTGTTCTAGTTCCACGTGCCATGTCTAATGGATGTCAGTTATCATTTATCTCCTGTTAATTCCCCTCTGAAAGTTCTCCACTACCTTAACCGGCTATTGAACTCACACTTTTTGGGTCCTGTCACTGGATCTGACTAACGCCTTTATCAACTGTGCCGTGTGTCCTTGAGCACAGGGGATAAATAGAACAATTAATTAAATACAACAAATTTGACAGCCGAATTATGAAAAATAGGAAAATATAAAATTATTCATACAGTAGAAAATATCCTTTTAAATTATTTTTGTAAAGTAATTTGTATAATTATTTTATCGGTGAAGCCTTCTAGACTATTTATTCAGTAGAATATTTGTGATAATTCCAGCAAAGAATATCACGTGGTGCATAGAGAGTCACCATTGTTATTCTTACGTTAACAACTTAATGGGGAAGACAAAGAAGCTTAGTGTTGACATGAGACAGAGAATTATTAACATCCACAAGTAGGGAAATAATTGCAACACTATTTCAAACCGGTTAGCTATCCCTAGATCTACAGTACTGTCCGTTATAAAAAAATTTAAACCGTTTCGCACGTCAGAGAATTTGCCTTGGCGTGGAAGAAAAGCCAAATTATCACTGAAAACTGTGTCCCGAGGTTAATATTGACCCAAGAGTTGTTTTGAAGAGTTGTAATTACCCCATTGTTCATAAAATAGAGTTGTTTATTACTTTTTTGTCCTTTTTAGATATAAAAAAAACCTGCCATCATACTGGCATTAGATTCTGAGAAATGGATAAAAATAATCAAAATTGATGGGTGTACGAAGAATTTCGTCGTTGACTTTACGGCGTTTTGAATGCGACTGAAGTCGAGATGCCAGGTCAGGACCAATAACAGTGCAGATTTTTCTACTGGATTTTCTCAAGGATCTCTGAATATAGAGCAGGGACACCAGACCATATATGGCAGCAATATTCTGTGCAGGGACGAATGGCAGACTTGTAGATATGCAAGTAAATGTACATTTTCTAGCACGAATCAGTGCACCGACCTTCCGAGCAGCAGACGTAGCAATCGATTAGATATAGACTTTTCACTTCACATGAGTTGCAAACGTTAACCTGAGAAGACGCAACGTGTCACTACCCTGGCGGTTAGCATCAGCCATAGTGATGGAAAACAGAAAGAGCTCTCTCAGACGATTAAGAGATGGGAACTTGTTTCAAATCAATTTGGAATAAATAAATAAAAAAAAAGCAGCAGCTTTTTATGAATTAAAAGCTTGGTAACCTCAATGTTTGCATTTCTAAAATGATGTCTACGCGGGAATTGCTTCCTCTCGTTCCCGCGTCAGGCGGCAAGCGAAGATAACCACCGTAATATTTGTCAAGCGAGATAAGCAAAGAACAAGGAATTTCTTGTTCCTAATGTCGGCAGGCCTTTAATGACGACTGGCATTTTGAATAATTACTGATTCATGTAGCATTTATTAATCTGGTTCGCATTTCGCACTTGTATTTTGAGATTCCTTACTTTTTTAAATTCCCACTGTTCCGCAGAATATGAAGCCTGATTTTCATCATACAATATTATCAATTCTGAACATAAAATGGGTTTTCAGGAAGATTGATCTATCTATCTATCTATCTATCTATCTATTTCAGTCTGCTCATATCTATCTATCTATCTATCTATCTATCTATCTATCTATCTATCTATCTATCTATCTCAGTTTGTTTCTATCTATCTCATACTCTCCATAACTATCTACCTCATTTTGATTCGATCTATATCAGTTTATTGCATTTTATCTATCTATCTATCTATCTATCTATCTATCTATCTATCTAAGTCAGCACATTATCTATCTATCTATCCATCTAAGTCAGCTCATTATCTATCTATCTATCCATCTAAGTCAGCTCATTATCTATCTATCTATCTATCTATTTATCTATCTATCTATCTATCTATCTATCTATCTATCTATCTAAGTCAGCACATTATCTATCTATGTATCCATCCATCTAAGTCAGCTCATTATCTATCTATCTATCTATCTATCTATCTATCTATCTATCTATCTATCTATCTAAGTCAGCACATTATCTACCTATCTATCCATCTAAGTCAGCTCATTATCTATCTATCTATCTATCTATCTATCTATCTATCTATCTATCTATTTCAGTCTGCTCATATCTATCTATCTATCTATCTGTCTATCTATTTCAGTCTGCTCATATCTATCTATCTATCTATCTATCTATCTATCTATCTATCTATCTATTTCAGTCTGCTCTATCTATCTATCTATCTATCTATCTATCTATCTATCTATCTATCTATTTCAGTCTGCTCTATCTATCTATCTATCTATCTATCTATCTATCTATCTATCTATCTATTTCAGTCTGCTCATATCTATCTATCTATCTCTGTTTCTTCTTTTTTTTCTTTTCTATCACCTCTATTTCTTTTGTGTTCCTCTTTCTCTCATTTCTGTCTCATTTTCGCTTGCAATTTTCTTCTCCCAGCAATTATTTTCTTTCTATCTATCTATCTATCTATCTATCTATCTATCTATCTATCTATCTATATATATATATATATATATATATATAGAGAGAGAGAGAGAGAGAGAGATCAGTTTAATTTGATCTATTTAAGTTTATTTCATTCTATCTATCTATCTACTTATCTACCTACCTATCTCATTCTGTTCATTATATATCCATCTCAGTTTAATTTGATCAATCTCAGTTTATTTCATTCTATCTATCTATCTATCTATCTATCTATCTATCTATCTATCTATCTATCTCAGTTTGTTTCTATCTCATACTCTCCATAACTATCTACCTCATTTTGATTCGATCTATATCAGTTTATTGCATTTTCTATCTATCTATCTATCTATCTATCTATCTATCTATCTATCTATCTATCTATCTATCTCATTCTATTCATTATACATCTGTCTATCTCAGTTTGATTCTATCTATCTCAGTTTAATTCATTCTATCTATCTATCTATCTATCTATCTATCTATCTATCTATCTATCTCAGATAGTTTCTATGTATCTATTTCAGTCTCTTCATATCTATCTATCTATCTATCTATCTATCTATCTATCTATCTATCTATCTATCTATCTATCTATGTCCATCCTTATCTCTGTCTGTTCATCTCTTGTCTATGTGCATTATCTATCAATCTGCCTACAGTTAGATGGTTATTTGTAAGAATACTTGACCCTTCAACTTGCTAATTTTTAATCTATTTGATTTGCTCCTTTAATATGAGATTTGCCTTACTCTATCAGCACATTTGTGTATTTTTTTTTTTTTTTAAATAACTGTTTTTCGAGGACATTTAAAAAAAAATTACCAAAACCGTTTTTGTGAAGTTATAAAACCAGTGAGTAAAAAACAAAGAAATCATTATTTTTAGCAACTTGTAACACCTCCTGGCGATAACCTGAAAAATGGGTTCTCGCAAGATCTCTACCAGTCTACACAATTGGCTATTGTCTATTGACGCTCATTCATCGTGTGTAGGTTTCTTTAACTCTGGACTTATATGATATTGATGGCCACCTTCGTATAACTTACGAGCAAAAATACCTCACAGGAATTCTATTGGAGTTCAAGTGAGGAGGACGTGTTGGCCAGCTCTTAGCGTCAATGTCTTGCTTCTAAAACCATTTTTATGCACTGTGTGTCCATTATATTGGAGCATCGATATTTTAATTTCCAGGTGGTGCCATGAAACACACCCACATAGACAATTCGAGATTAGCCGAAGACACATATCCATGCGTTCCAGCATACATATGTACGCAATTCTAATTCTCTTTGTGCGTACACCTGTATGTCTGTGTGTGTGTTTGTGTGTGTAAGAGTGACATCGCAAAACGGATTGAGAGGAGGATTTCCCCAACTCCCATCACCAAACATATTCAAACACAAAAAAAAACATGAATTGATTCAATTTTTAGAAAAAAAATAAACCAGTTTTTCTGATGAACGCAAAAGCGTGAAACCCAGGGTCACAAACTCATATCCATACAACTGAATATTTTAGCTCTATCAGTGATATTGAGGACTTCCCAATAAACACTGAACACACACACACACACACATATATATATATATATAACATGAATCATTCATACAAAAAACAGATATAGAAGTTAATGATTTAAATGGCGAGAATACATCTTCGCAAACAAACTTAATAAAGTACATTAACCCCGAACCTGTAGATGAATGATATGATCTCTGTTTATAAATTCCAGTTGCATAAGGTCTTTTTTAGTTTTTTACAAGCTTTCGTCTGTTTCTACAGATATCATCAGGTATGGAAATAGATTTGTTTTTGTTTTTTACTTCTCAGTAATAACAGGACAACGAAAAAATAGATGTAATCCGAAAAAATGTTTTTAGAAATGTGTTATTGTTAATTGTAAAAAATATTTGGGAGCGTGCGGTAGCAACGCTGAGGTTGAATTTTAAAATTTTAAGATTGTGTGTTTTTGTACCGGAAAATGTCTGTAGGAACAGAGGAAAGCTTGTAAAAGACTAAAAAAAGACCTTATGCAACTGGAATTTCTAAACAGGGATCATAACATTCATCTACAGGTTCGGGGTTAATGTACTTTATTAAATTTGTTTGTGAAGATGTGTTCTCGCCATTTAAATCATTAACTTCTATATCTGTTTTTTGTATGAATGATTCATGTAATGTAAATTGAACTGCACCTCATACTTGATATATATATATATATATATATATATATATATATATATATATATATATATATATATATATATATATATATATATATATATATATCAGTGTCCATAAAGTTCGTGTGCACTTTAAAAATGTATAACTTTATTTGTATTTGCGATAGAAATAATCTGTAAAAAAATGTTATAAAGTTTAATGTACCTAGTTTTAAGTATAGCTAAAATAACTAATGTGATTTCAGGCATTACTGTAAATCAGTTGGCAAATGTTTTCCGTCAACTGCAAAATCGTATTACCCTTTGTATTGCTAATGATGGAGGACATGTGGAAACTTATATAAAATTTCAATAAAACCTTAAAAAAATATAGATTGATTCTTTGTAATCCTTTTTGCAAATTATTTCTATCGCAAATACAAATAAAGTTATAAATTTTTGAAAGTGCACACGAACTTTATGGAGACACTATATATATATATATATATATATAGAGAGAGAGAGAGAGAGAGAGAGAGAGAGAGAGACAGAGACAGAGAGAGAGAGATAGCAGGACAGCCTTGGATGGCAACTGGCCTATCACGGAAAGAAATTGCAACCTAATGCGGGAAAAAAATCTGCCTCGTCGGTCAAGTATCGAAAGATATATGATCGCATAAGCGTTTATCACGTACGGCACATTACTGACTTGACCTTTGGGAAAGGTATGGATTCTCTTCTTCTCTCCCAGCTATGGATTATTAACAGGACAGACCATGTTCTATAGCTCTGAATGGCAATTGGTTTTCCGCAGAAAGAAATGGCAACCTACTGCAGGAAAAAATCTTCCTCGTCAGTCAGAGATCTAAAGATACATGATCGCCTAAGCGTGTATTAAGCATGGCACATAACTGACTGACAGATACCGTATCCTTTTTCCCAACAAAAGAGTATGCGAATAAGCATTTGACTTAACAATGGATATATATATATATATATATATATATATATATATATATATATATATATATATATATATTGGATTGTTTTAATAGAATGCTTTTTATAAAATTCCTCTGAAATTGCATTCGATACCTGGTGAATGAATAACTGAATGTTCCATTATAAGTAAAAGCTAATCTTGCCATTATCATGCGCCATAATTTATACCACCTAAAACAATTGGATTGTCACGTGCAAGTAGTTGCATAATGAGACAGTTGTAGATCACAAAGAACAGATATACTGGCAGCTCGACATTCACGTATAGGCATTTCTGTGTACAAATTAAATCACTTAATTACATTCATAAACTTATCACCTTATGTGACAACTTGTCCCTATATATACACTGGTAAACCGCTAGGTCTGGTACTTAATAACGGTAAAACTAATTTATTTGGCACAACAAATATTTATTTTCAACATAATCTCCTTCCTTCTCAATATACTTGTCGTATTTGACAGTATGAATAACGCGTATCTATATGCCAGATTACAAAACTGCGATGACATTTTTGTAAGCTTATATAGAGGTTGCGAAAACTCTTTTTTGTAGGCTTCCCATAATGCACTCGCAGAGATTATCACCAGTCGAAGAAAGACATTTGAATCACTACCACGCATAAAATCTATTTTTATAATATGTGGAAATATCTTCTCTTCACTTAAAGAAGGTCACGAAACCAGAAACACGTGTAGCAGAATTATGGAAAAATTCTTTTTGAAAATATACGCTTTTCCATCGTTGGAACAACTACAACCTCTCGCCTATATATTTTATATATATATATATATATATATATATATATATATATATATATATATATATATATACATGTGTGTGTGTGTGTGAAAATATATAGTAAAATAGTAAATAATCCAAAGTTCTTTAGTATTTTCTTTTTATTTAAAAAAAAACAGTGCTCATAAGTAGAGCCTAAATTATAATTGTTTTTTTTTTTTTTCTATTTATATTTTTATTATTCATATTTAAAAAAATTATATATATATATATATATATATATATAATGTCATCCACAGACAGTCTGTTTCTCTGTATCACAGCTCATCAGTGTGGCTAGACGTCCGATTGTCGCTAGCTAGGATCAAAACCCGACTGAACTGGAGTCAGTCGAACATTCTCCACCTATGCCGTTGGCGAACGTCAGGGATGAAGGTGAATTTAGATATATTAATAGTGATCATAGGAATGATAAATTTCAACTTTTTTACAACAGCTTTCACAGATCAATGATTTAAAAAAAAGTGAATTTAGGTCTATCAATACCAGGACAAAACGCTGGCGGGGAATTCTTTATCCTTAATGGGTTTCGGGACAGTCAATTGTGATTGATCAACCCAAAGAAAATAAAAATAAAATCTGTTACGTGTTTACACCCCAACACACACACACACACACACACTCACACAGACACACTAATTGACACACACACACACACACACATATATATATATATATATATATATATATATATATATGATAATATCTTTCGGTCTAGACTATATTTATTTCGTCTTGGTGTTTACCTGTAAATGGAAATATTACGCCCTGAAGATGACAATTTGAATTGTCGAAAGTACTCGGCCCAGAATCATCAATTCTATTTGACAACAGTTCATATATAAGGATTCGCTATTAACCACATTAACATTGCTAATTATTTCTTTGTATAAATTGCTTTATGACACACACACACACACACACATATATATATATATATATATATATATATATATATATATACACAAACAAACGGAAAACGTATTTTAGTAGATGCGTTTCATCTTTTCTGTAAAAAAAGGTCTATGAGAGGACGAAACGCGTTGGCGAAAAGTTTTCCTTTTATCTTCATTCATATTGTCCTTTCACAAATATACTCTATCTGAAATTTGACACACACACGCACACACATACACATGCGTGTTTGTGCATATATATATATATATATATATGCGTTTGTGTGTGTGTGTCTGTACGTATATTCATATATTTAAAGCTATATATATATATATATATATGTTTGTGTGTGTGTGTGTGTGTGTGTACCGCTAAAAACATCTTTTATAATAGTTGATAGATTGACCGAAATCGCTCGGATCCATAGACAAATTAAACAGTTTTTACTCTCCAAAGAAAATCTTTAAATATAAAAAAATAAGCAAAATTTTAATGGCATTTCATTGAAATTGAAACCTCTATAAAAACAGGGTTGCCTGACCACACACACACATATATATATATATATATATATATATATATATATATATATATACACACACACACACATATATATATATATATATATATATATATATGTCTGTTTATACCTTAGTTTTTATAGATACAACTTATTTGATAAATGCTCAGTTTTTAACTAACTGTGTGTTCGAGAAATTTTTAGAAATTTTTTTTTTGATAATGTATC